AGAAAAATAAACAGAACAAGAAAATTCTTTCTTGAGAAAAACAACAAACAATTGTGTGCGCATATATGTTATTACTATTACTAACGTTAGTTTCGCCTTTTTTTCTGTCGAGGCTATGCATAAAAGAGACTAAACGAGAAGAGAAACAAAATAAGAAAGAATAACCACTGTTGCGTAAGTCTTCGAGCAAGATCGTTTTGACACTTTCCCAGTGTACTAAAAGAATCCTGTCTACATAAAAAAATTTCAGAAAAAAATCAGAAATTGAGGTTCTTCCTAAGTAAATGAAGAGAATATTCATCTCGTTCAGGAATTATATCGATGCAGGAAGTACATAATCGAATCGACTAATTCAATATAAAGTGTATTAATACAGAAAAGTAGGCGTGCGAAGGTAGCTGAATGGTCGTTATAAAACATGAGTAGGATGTGTGTATAGTGTGTTATTAAAAATTAAACGTTTGGATAAAAAAAAGATCTACAAACACAAACTCGGATAATACCTGAATGACTAATATTTCATTGTCTAAAGTTTTTTAAGAAATAGTTTACTTTTTCTTATTTTCTTATTATTCGGTGGGTGTGGCTGTGGGTGAGACGACCACTCACAGCCACAGCCTCATCCATAGTCACACCCACCCATACCCACACCCACACATCCACACCCCGCACCTACCCACACCCATGCCCAAGACCATTAAAGAAAGTTTTTTTTTTGCAGATGCTGCTAATTTTATAAAACCCGACAAATTTCGTAGGTATAATATTTACAAGGTTGAGCCCAGTCGATCGTGCTGTTTAGCAGAAAAAGCGGTAAATTTTTAATTGAATTGTTTTGTTTGAAAATGATATTTCGAAGGAATGGCAAAAAAAGTTGCACTTTTTAACTTTTTAAGCATAAAATTGAACTTTTCCTTATATGTAGAAAAAGTAGTTTTACTTTTTTAAAATACGTTCATTTGATACAAGGAATTTAAATCTACATAACTAACATAAAAAATGAAAGATGGAAAAGATGAAAATTTTGAATCTGGAAAGGAGAAGGGATCCCTTTTAACATAATTAACCATGAAGGTAAATTCATTTTTCTGAAACTGATGTCCCATATTCGACATGGTGACATATTTCCTTCGATACATACACCAAACTGTACTTGAAGTGCATATTGTTATCAGAGCTTAACGATTTTTGTCTATTATAACGAGAAATAGATTGAAGGTGATAGAAATTTTGTAGCGAAAGTTTCAACATTCGTTCATGGTTTACGAAAAAAATATTCTCGAACCAATGTAATTATTTAGTTCTACATTGATCTGAGTGATAATAAAAGGTAAGATCTCACGCATGAACGATTTCTTTTCTTTAAACATCCGTTATATTGGTTCATGTATCCATACCATCATAAATGTCAGTGCAACTTGTTGTTGTCATTAGAAAATGACCGTATCTCGTTGATACAGATATTAGTGTAACAGACATGTGTATTTCGCAGTATGCAACAAGATGTCATGCGGCTACAATCCTGCCCCTATTAAATAAGTGGTTCACAGTCTAAGTACATTCTTCGCAATCATTAACCTAGATTATTTTGCGACATTAGTTTTTGAAAGAAGTCAATTAATATGAAAGTCATCGTGAGAATAGAAGAAAAGTCTTCAGCAATGAACAGTCATGCAGCTCTATCCGGTAGTGATGCAGAGTGTCAACCTTGACAACAAATAAACCATAATGTGCTGCTGCACATTTGAAGAAAGAACGTAAAATTTTCTTTCTCTATTTATTCTAACGAAAATTTTTGCCATTCTCTCGTCAGTGCTGCATACATGAGGATGCTAACGAGTATATACACAGTCTACTTACACTTTGATTTGAAAATGACAGGAAAGATTTTTTTCTTCTCCAACCCTTCTTGATCAATAATTAAAATAAAAAAGAACATACAAAAAAAAAAGGAGAACAATTCAGTTTTTCTCTCTTCGTCCGACATATTACGGTAGGAAAGGTATAAAAGAGAATGAACACAAAACACATGTGATTTGTTTCATTATATGTACGCTTGTTTCATATGTTGCTCTCTCAACGATGTGCTAGTTCGTAGTACAAGATAATAATTTTTTTTTTTATGTTTAAGGTAAAATAACATAACTGTATTGTTAATCAACCTTAGACCAAGGACAACAACTGTCGACCATGGAAACTAGTAATAAAGATGAAGGACAAAATCGAGTGAATAACAAATACATTCGATATGTCTTATTCTTTATTCTTCTTTCGGATTGGCTTTATACCTTATTTAAAAAATTGATTCAATTCAATTTTGCAATTATTTTCGATTATTTTCTGTATGCGTATTATTTATGGCACTCAAATATAGTACTTAGCACACCTATAGCTATTATCTGCCTTTTGGGAATACCGAAATGTGTTAGTTACCTGCGAAAATGTGTTTTCATAGTCCAAAAGGTAGTAACATCATTGATAAAAAGTCCTACGTTGATTGATATACCAATCTATGTGTACTTATTTGCCATCGGTTTAAAATTGTACTCATTTCAATTGAAACTGAATGATACGAATCGAACAATAACAAAGAATGTGTCTTGGATAGAGATTCGAAATGATCTAATAAATTATCGATATTTTTATCTAATATCTACTATTCTTTTTCTATTTGGTATTTGTACAATCGTGACTAATCGTTTAGTTAATCGATGGTTGAAACAAATGCTATCAATTTGTATGATACAAGTAAAAAATTTATTTTCAATTCTGTCGAGATCGATTCCAACACCACTTTCATGGTTAATTTTATTGATTTTAAATCTTGCTTTTCGATTATTTCCTTATATCATTATTCGATCTTATGATATCGTGATAAATCGTTTATTCATACTAATGATTCTCATTATCATATGTCTCTATACAGTTTACAAATGGTATAATCCTGATTCGAAGTATGAAATCGATTTTACGGATGATATTTATCTAGACGATGTATCTCATTTGAATAAAACTCGTATATCATCCATTTTTTATCCTCGTACGATCAATGATATTCAATATTTAATTGCAAAAGCTCGATTAGAAAATAAAACCATATCTATACGAGGACAAGCTCATACAATGGGTGGACAAACATTACCATCTCGAAAAAGATCATCGACAAATTATGTTTGTGATCTAAAATATATGAATCATGTCGAATATGATAAGAAGAATCAAGAAGTTTTAGTCCAAGCTGGAGCAACATGGACACATGTTATTTATAAACTTAATTCATATGGTCGATCACCAGTTGTAATGCAAAGTTATTGTACATTTAGTGTAGCAGGTACCATATCAGTCAATGCACATGGTATTACTTCAGATGATGCTATGTGTAATTCAGTGATCAATATTGAATATATTGATGTTCATGGAAAAGAACAAGAATGTAGTCGAGAGAAAAATCAAGAATTATTTTCATTGATTATCGGTGGATATGGTCTTTTTGGAATTATTACTCGATTGAGATTAATGACTGTACCAAATATAAAAACGACATTAGAATACATTCGATTACAAGTAAGTGTTATGAATAATCAGAATCACAGTCATAAACATCTGTTAGTTTTCTTATGTATACCATCGAAATTACGGACAGAAACGTAACTAAATGAAAGATAATTGATGAAAATTATATCGTTTAGGTAGTATATATATATATTGGAATATTGTTCGAATCTATTGAATTCTCTTGAAAATTCCACTACGAAACTTCTCGATGGCCTTTTTTTCAAGAATCTTTGTTCTATATAGTAAAGTGAACGAAATATCAAAGTTGAATATTTTTCTCATGTAAACGGATACATCAGATGCAGATAATAAACTATTTTATCTATCAATGCTCATTCACTGAAAGAAATAACTTTTGTTAAATATATTTCTTAAAATTATTTTTCAAAGCTTAATGTTGATAATAAAAATTCAGTGTTTGAATTTTACAATTTTCATTGTTTGACTTCAATAAACAATTTTTCTGCTTTCTCTTAAGTCAGATCAATTTCCAACTCTATACGAAGAATATCTTGACGATGCAACAATTGAAATAAAGATTTCTCGTGTCGATCTCGTACATCCAAATAATATTCTCATGTTCATTTTTCGTCGACAATCATCAACAACAGGCACAGTCGCTGATTTGAGTGAAGAAGCACATGTTATGCATTCACGTCAACATTTAATTTACACTTATCTAGCACAAAAAAGACTCTTTCGTCGAATTCGATTTACATTAGAAAAAGTTTTTGCACGTCCACTCGATTTATCTTTATCAACAGATCGTAATACAACTATGTATGAATCGGCAAAACCAATGGCTCTTCTATATCAACCAGTAACATTATATAATGATACATTTATATTACAAGAATATTTCATTCCGAAACCATTTTTTCGACAATGGTACGATCAATTAAAAGTAATTCTTCAAGAAAAATATAGTCATGTTTTTCTACTCAATTTAACAATACGTTTTGTAAAAAAAGATCAAACGACATTTTTATCATATACAAAAAATACTGATTGTTATGCATTTGTTTTCTATTTTCGAATTAAATGTAATGAAATAGGTGATCAGCAAGTACATACATTACATCAAAACCTAATTCAATTAGCATTTAATTGTCATGGTACATTCTATTTACCTTATCGTCAACATTATACATTTGAACAAATGTTTCAAGCATATCCAATGATTAATGAATTTTTTGAAAAAAAATTAACATATGATCCAATCAGACTTTTTTCAAATGATTGGTATGAAAACTATGAACAACAAACTCTTATAAATCAACCAAAATATATCAATTTATTACCGATAGAGAAAGTTAATTTGATTACAAATCAATTTTCAATTGTTGAACAACGACGAATGTATTCATTTCGTGATGTAATCTTAAATGACATTTTGAGACAAAAATTCCGTAAATTTCTCCATACTGTATTTAATGCAGAGCCAACTTATGTAATTTTTAATTATGTCAATCGTGCTGTTCGAAATTCTGCCAATCAGAATGATCACGATATTTATCGAGATTTACAACATGCTCTTAAAACAAGACAATTTGCTTGTATTCGAAGTCTATGGGCACTTGCTAAGCAAATCATACAATTACGAATACAAATAAAAGATCTCATACGACAACAAATTACTATCTTCAAACATTTAGGATATTGCGGAAAGGTAAAAATCATGAGACAAGGTTTGATCAAAAACGTTAAAAATATTTTTTTCGTTTCGCTCTAGATCAAAAATATAGTTAGCATAGGTGATGGTGGTCGATGTATTGATGATTTACGTCAAATATTAAAAATTAAAAGTGGCCGAGTATTCATTGTGAATGATAAACAACGTCTAACGGACATTATCGAACGAAATAGTTTGTTTTCAATAGGTACTTTCATTCCATATAATTTCAAAAATCTTACCGATATACCAATTCCAAGTGAATCAATTGATCTCGTTGTTTGTTATATGGGTTTACATCATCTACCACAAGAACAATTGAACATATTTTTTCAAATGATCTATCGTATACTTCGTCCAAATGGTCTTTTTCTTTTTCGAGAACATCATGCTCGACAAGAATTAATTCCATTATTGGATGTTGCACATATGGTATTTAATGTTGTTACTGGTGTAGATTATGAATCGGAAATAAATGAAATTCGAGCATTTCGAACAATTGAAGATTGGCGTTCATGTTTAAGACGTGCTGGTTTTGAAGATACATTTGTTTATGATGAACAAGAAGATGATCCAACAGATGACATTATGATTATTTTTCGAAAACCAGAACAAGACAATCAAATAACAAATATAGAATGGAATGAAAATTATCAGAAAATTATTGCTAATCCAGAATCAAATTATTTTCGACCATGTGAATGGTTAGTTGTTCGAATTTGTATGCAATTTGGACAATATTTAAATCATACACCATTCTATTATTTTCCATTTGTTAAATTTCTCGTACATTATTGGTCATTGTTTCTTTCTGAAACTAAATTATCAATTAAAAAATACGGTTTACTAACAATACTCTTTCGATCACCTGGTTTTCAAATGAATGTTTTTGTTGGTATTTTTATGACTATAACATTATTACCTCTGATATTGTCATCATTTCTCGTACGAATTTTCTCACCTCGAACTATTCCCGAATATGAACAATTAGTTCTTGAACAGACAGAAAATATTGATGAAGATCCATTCAATTTTCAACAATCAATCGATTCACATATTGATCATGTGCAAATTTTGAAAAAGAAAGATTTCTATGCCATACGAGTACCAAGACATCATATATTCACGTCTATATTAAAAAAATTAGCTATGCATTCAGGTCAATTCAATCTTCATTATATTTCGGATCGGGATGATCAAATTCAAGTTGAAATTTTAATTAATAATGACGATGATGATGCACAACGTTTAATGTGGTTAAAACAACAAGCTAGTATTGATGTTATCTATGAATATAAGAATCCAATCGATAATAAACAAACAACTTTGATTGTAAGTGTCAAAATTAAAGAATTATTTTCATTGATTCGGAATTGGGCAAATTTTGAATCTGATGGTTCAATGACAATCGTTCAAATTTTTGATTATTTTGAATAGATTATCTATCGCTCTTTGTATCCTATTTAGACTAATAATTGACTATTATTAAAATATTCATTTAGTATTATCATATATTCTATGGATTGCATTTTTGCATGATGTTTTTGCTTTTTTTTCTTATGTCAAAAGTAAAACTTTATCAATATATGAATAGAAAGATTGTAAAATCGTTTATAAGAAAAACAATATTGCAGCACATACTATTACATTAGATATCTATTTCAGTTAATTAATTGAAGACTTTTTCGTTAAGATTGTATTGATATCTGTTTTGCTCAGATGCATCGAGTACACGTTATTATCTAGGTGTGGATGTGGATATGAGTATCATTCTTTTTCTCACACCCACATCCACAAAATTATTGTCTTTTAAAATTGCATCTAAGCAAAGCACCTCTTCTGAGGATTGTCTACGGCAGTAAATCCCACGGCAGTGAATCCAGTATACGGATTTGATACTGTAAAATGCGTGTGTCAACAACGGATAATGTCACAATATAAATAGTTATGATTTGTGATATTTCCTTTATAATCTGTTGTACTAATCCTCCCATAATCTGCATGTGATCACGAGGAATTCTCAACATCTCTAGTTTTTCAAATCTTGAAATAATGAAATATCACATTGTTCGTCTTTAACTGTAAACTCTATTGATGCTTACGCTTTAATCGTTTCACATTTGGTATCTCATTGTTTCATCTATATATTTGGATTATTCATTATTGTGCATCAAATTATTTGTTAGAGTTGAAAAGAATTTGTTGATGATCATATTCAAATCTTACTGATTAAAGATTATCATTTTCTCGATTTTAATATTCAATCGTAAAAATGTCTTCAGATATTGTTTAGAGGATATGAATCAAGTATGCATTTTTGAAAAAGACATATGAATCTTTAAAAGAATATTTTATATTGAATAAAATTTAATTTATTAAAAATATTACGTAGAAGCACTAGGATATTACTAATGAGCCCAAGCTTGAGTAATCGAACTTTCTGTGAATGGATGGAACCGATGAAAAGATAACAATACTCAACATTCAGGAAAAAATGATGATATGTAGTAGAAACACGTTTTCGTTGTGTTCAGCGTTTTTTTTTTTCAATCGTCTTTCGAAATGCATATTACAGGACAAGAACAAGAATCCAACAACCAAGAGGATGAAAAGGTCGACGTGGAAGTACATTTTACTCAAAATGGTGGCTCTCCGAAACTCAAATTGTCACTACTTGAATTAAAAGCTCGTGGCGAAGAAAATAAGTAACAATAAAGTGAGTGAATAATATTTTCTTATTAAGAATTATCAGACGGAAAATTATAGAAATGTGTATGTTCTACTATTTTTAATCCTCTTTCCTACACGTTTTGCTATATATTTGCTTATTATGCTATTTGAAACTAAGATTTTAATTCTTTTATTTTCTCCTTTCATCAATAATTGTATCATTATCAAATATGGTTTCTATTTCTACTGATCTTTCTCAGTCATCACTTACAAAAGCAGAATAGACGAGAACAGAACAAATTTCATTTAGAACAACGGCATCTATCGACGTACAATATATTATTAAAAATCATATTAAATAACTGTGACCAAAATTACAAGTTAAACGAACGAATGAGGCAAAGTTTTGTATTAATTTTGTTTTTGATAACTCTGGCATAGAATATCGTAGAGACTTGATCTTTTGTTTTTCTTTCGAAAGAGCAATGTGTCTAGTGCAAGAATATATAAAAGACACTGATTAGAAATGTTTTTCTTATGCTACAAAAATCTTAGAACAAAAGACGTCGAAAAAGTCTTCTGAAACTTTGGCCACATTATTTTTTTATTCGGAAATATTTGTTTGAGTTTTTCTCACTTTCTACTTTCGAGCAGCATATCTATACAACGATTCATTATAACTAAAGCATTTATTTGGTATTGAAATAATTGATGTAGCATATAACAGAATGAATAAAAGACAATATTTTATTTAAAAAAATGAATTGTCTGAATTTGACTTTACAATGCGAAAATATTTTTTTGTTAGAATCTTCCAGGAAAAAGCTGCGTCCTCTTTCAAATAATATCGTTTGGTAGGGGTACTCAATAAGTTTCATTTTTTATATAGAATATATAATGATCTCGTAATTTCTCTCTTGACTTCGAGTTTATTTTTTGACTGATATCCACCATGATAAAAAATTGTCACATTCTATCGCCATTATCTTTATCTTCTTATCATATCAATATCTGTTATCTAATTATCTTTCTCATCATTGATCTCGTAGTCAATTGGTTTGGAAGCAAAGGAACACAATATCTAGCTGATGGTTTACGAAATAATATAGTAAATTTTCTTTTTTTCGTATCATTCATTTCAATACTAACATTTCCATTCAGACAGTAACAACACTCATAATTAACAACAATGGTATTGACAACGAGGCAGCCAAACACATGTGGCTGATATTTTAACAAATACAACAGTAAACTTCGTTCTTTCTTCATTTCTCTCATATTTATATTGATTTTTCATGTAGACACTCACCACGCTCGACCTTTTTAATAATACATTAGGATCATTTGATTTGTCTATATATATCGTGCCATAATTGAACAATAAATCTTTGGTTTAACAACGTCAGATTTTCAATTTTTAAAATCTTTTAGAAAAAACATATAGCACTTCTATTTCTATTATAACTTTAAAAGAATTCATACAATATGTCTGCATTTGGTAATAAAGAGATTTAGAATAAAATTAAACAGCTCTTAACTGTTTGATTTTAACAAATATCACCAACTTTGACTTGTTCAAAATAAGATAATTACAAAGTAGGGTCTTCCAAAAATCGAAAGTCAAATTTCACCAACTTGAAGTTTGACATCATATAATCAATTAGTCATATTTTTTTGTATATTTTCAATGTATTCTTCACGAACCAAAATAGCTGGTATTGGTAAATCTTTATATATTATTTTTCTTTTAGTTACTACAAGAATATTCACTACTTTATTCAAGTGTCTAATCATTAAATACTATGGCATATGATGACACAAATTTTGATATAACTATTGTTGTCTATATTTCTTTTATCATTCATTAAAAAAAAAAATTATTTTCATTATTATTTTTTTTTTCGAATCGCACTTATTTCGACTAGGTGAATACGCGTTGTTTTTAAAATGAAATGAAATTCCTTTTCCAAGTTATCTTAAATGGCTGCTTTATCATAAAAATAAATAGTGTACTTAATCAGAAATTTTCAATAAAATATAACGAAATGTTACGAATTTTTATATCACCAAACGTGCACTATAAAATTTACTACCTTCAATATATTCCAGATTATAAATGATAATCTAATATAGATTGATTTGCTATATTCAATATTGTTTCCTTTTAGAAGTATTCTAACTTTTATTATCAAATATATCTTTAATAGTCAACATGTTTTTTTTTAATCATAATTATTTTGATAATAATATAAAAATGTCGATTATTAATTCGATTTTCAAAATTTTCAATAAAATTTCTCATTACAATGCTTTAAATATTTATTAAACATTTAACGTTGTCTAAAACAATTATCTTGGTATCTGAACATTATATGTCAACACAACACATTTTAACAGTCAATAACGGACATATGCATAACTCTAAATCTTCAATTAAAAGAGAGTGTACTCTCGACCAAAAAACTAATGAAACATTCTCACTAACAGTTTTGTTGTATGGTGATCGGGAAACAATTATGATTATTTTCAATTTATCTATAAATAAAACCTCAATAACATTAATTGTTTTTTTTTTATTGTTTTAAAGTACTAATCAACTACTTGAAATAAAACTTATATAAATTATAACACTGCTGTCTTTGTTTTACAAAATGGTCATAAAAAACACTCGATTGTCTTTATTAATCGAAACGACCACATACAAATTGCAGTATGTTTATACTATTTTAACATAAATGAATTCACAGTGTCTGTAATGGGAAGGCGGTGCCGTCAAAACTTGACTTTAAAACTTACACTCACTATTTTCATCAAAAATATACGTGAGTTCCACAAAATACTGATTCGAGTGTGGATATGGGTGTGAATGTTAATATCTTCTTCAATCCATACCCTACATATATATAAGATCAATACTTTTTTTTTCGACGACGACATTATATCGATCTACGTCGGACGAGAAAAAAAAAGTTAATAAAACACACACATATCACCACATAAAAATTGATCATCAAATCAATTATGTAGTGCTGCGTGTTGAACATATCAATTCACGTGTGTGGAATGATTGATAAAAAATCAATCAATTAACCATAGGGTATACAAAAACATTGACGCATCATCATAAAACATTACATTCGTGTTTTCTCAATATGATGCATTACAATGTAATTATATACCCGGGTACATTATTTATTATTATATTATTTACAATGATAATGATATTATTATATTCTAAATAAGGTAAATTACTTGTCTTTATATTTAACAATACTTTTTTTAGATGAACTATAATACAATATTGAGAGGTGGGAAAAAAAATTTTTTTTTACATGCTGAGTTGAGTTGAGATAACTTATTTCGAGAAAAAATAAATACTGTCAGTTATTTATGAGTATGAGTTTATTTGAGATGAGTTGAGTTGAGTTATCAATGTGGGTCAGATAGCTACGTTATCTGATTCAATAGGCAGAGGAACTTTATCATAGCGAAGCAGTGTAGCACTAGGGAAGGCCTCTATGTGTCGTTGGTGCCTACCGTTCATACGGCATACCTTCGGCCATTGTCCTACCAGTCCGGCGTGGTCCGCCTGTGGTACCTATGGCATTGACAAGGGATCTCTCTCTTGTCGCGCGCGCGCGGATAAGTCAAAATGAGCCGAGAAAAATCGAAACGATTAGCAATGTGAATAAATTTATTGAGCAAGCCAAAAAGAAAAAATTACAGTTATATTTTCTTTTTTACATAGTCAATTGAATTTGTGACTGTTATAATATTAGGATGGTTAAATGGAAGTGATTTTTGCCAGATAGAAAGTGCCTTTTCTAAGAATGAGAGTACTTTTGAGTAGTCTCCTTTGCCGTAATACGCCATACCGATATTGTTGTAGGAAGTAGCCAATGAGGGATGATTCGGAGGCAGAGCTTTTTCTTTAATTTTAAGTGCTTTTTCGTAAAATTCAAGTGCTTTCAAGTAGTCACCCATGTTGTCATACACTTGACCGATGTTGTTGTAGGAACTAGCCACATGAGGGTGATTCGAAGGCAGAGCTTTTTCGTCGATTTTAAGTGCTTTTTCGTAAAATTCAAGTGCTTTCGAGTAGTCACCCATGTTCTTATACACGAGACCGATGTTGTTGTAGGAACTAGCGAAATGAGGGTGATTCGAAGGCAGAGCTTTTTCGAGGATTTTATGTGCTTTTTCGTAAGATTCAAGCGCTTTCGAGTAGTCACCCATGCCATTATACATGAGACCGATGCTATTGTATGAAGCGGCCAAATGAGGGTGATTCGAAGGCAGAATTTTTTCGTAGATTTGATGTGCTTTTTCGTAAAATTCAAGTGCTTTCGAGTAGTCACCCATGTCATTATACACTCTACCAATGTTGTTGTAGGAAGTAGCCAAATTGGGATGATTCGGAGGCAGAGCTTTTTCGTAGATTTTATGTGCTTTTTCGTAAAATTCAAGTGCTTTTGAGTAGTCACCCATGTTGTGATACACTTGACCGATGCTGCTGTAGCAAGTAGCCAAATCGGGATGATTCGAAGGCAGAGCTTTTTCTCTTATTTTAAGTGCTTTTTCGTAAAATTCAAGTGCTTTTGAGTAGTCACCCATGTCCTTATACACTCCACCGATGTTGTTGTAGGACAAAGCCAAATCTGGATCATTCGGAGGTAAAGCTTTTTCTTTTATTTTAATTGCTTGTTTGTAGAATTCCACTGCTTTAGAGTAGTCACCCATGTTGTGATACACTCCACCGATGTTGTTGTAGGTATTGGCTAATGAAGGGTGATCTTCTGGTAGGGCTTTTCGTTTAATTCTAAGGGACATTTCATAAAATGAAGCTGCTTCTGTATATTGCCCTTTGCCATTTTTCATCATTCCAAGCATATGATAGATATATGCTTTACCACTGTCGTTGGATGCTTGTTCTAGTAGTGCCATGTACAATTCTTCGGCCTTGTCAAATTGACCGATTTTGAGCAGTAAGTGACCCATTCGATACCATCCAGTGCCGTTGACCTCTTCTCGGATGCTGTCGGTTAATTGACGAAGTTGTTGATCATCATCTGAGGTAAGTTTAAGTTCCACTTCATAAAGTGGGCTTTTCTTATCAAGTTTTCGAATGTCACCAATTCGAAAAACGCTGTGCATCGAGAAGAGAATTTCCTTTTCGCCCTTGTAATAACTCACTTCCTCGATGGAGGCGAAAGGAGTCGTTGAAATTGTAAGATCAATAATTATTTGAAACAGAATACCGACCATGTCGGTTGAGCGTAAAGAGTTGTTGACGAATTTAATTGAGACATCACGATTTTTGCTGGTAGATAAGAAGTTGTTAAAAGAAATAAGCCCGCCTTTATTATTTGTGAGCTTTTCAAAATCTGTTTCCGAAAGATTTTGTCCTCGAAAGACTGTAAAGACCTTCCCATGATATTGACTGACCTGTTCTTTGTGCAAATGTTCAATTTGTCGATGTATATCACATAAAAAAAAGCCCATACGAATCATAATATCACCGTTGAGTGTCCGTAGTGCAGCATTTAACATTTTGTATGTAAAGCATTCTCTCGTATACCACCATATGGCATTGGATGCTTGATATTCACGTTGAAATTCATGAATAATTTTCAATTCCTTGTTATTATCTTTGTATTCTTGTTGGCAATATGTAACTAAATCTTGAATAGCATTTTGATCATGTTCTATTTCAAGGAGTATTTCCTTGAATATTTGTGAATACATAAAAGTAGGTTCTAGCTGATCAAGATTTTTGCTAGAACCTCCTTCAGTTAGACTAACAATGCTCACCGGTATATTGTCCTGATTGCATTGTTTGATAGCCATTTTCAACTTTTCGCAAATGTGTTTGATGGATGTATGAACACCTTTGATCTTTGCATAATTTTGAGTCCATTCTTTATGTTGTTGTTTGTTGCCACAAAATATAAATATGGCATTTAATTTTGTCATATCATGAATTGTTGGCACTAGATGTTGACCAATTGCACCCGAAGAGATAACAAATGAAATCTCCTCTTGACTTTCGTTCAATAGTTGAATACATTGGTCAGGTGTTGTACATTGTTGCACTTGATTTACAACTTCTCGCAATTGTACCATTGTATTTTTACAGTCTTCATTTGTCATATCAATGTTTTCATCAACCCAAACAACTACATAACCTTCAGCCACGTGTAATCTTTGACGTCGACTCATTTTTAATCGATTTGTATTGTAGAGACGAAATTGTTTTTTGGTAGGTATTACTTTTTGCTATTTATAAGTTTGATGTCGACTGGATTTTTTCTTTGTTGACACTCAATTTAAACTATTGTTATCGACAAGATACGAAAGAGAAAAAACCCAACTATATCATCTATTTTATGATTATTCTTTCCAACTTTCGTTTGCTTTTTATTTATGTAGCTACTTGAATCTTATCTCTCGTACTGACAAGAGAGAACAATAAAACAGAGATTACCAGCTCGACAATTTTGATTATGGTTACAATGGACATAATGAAAGTAGGAAAGATATGTAGATTTGTATGATGAAGAATATAATGTTTAGAGTAATTAACTTTCACTTGAAATATAACCACAAACAATGCAATATTTCATATTCCCATGTCATTACAATGGTTTCAATTGAGTGGGTATCTCAGTTCATTAACTAGACATTGTAAACATCTTTCTGTTGAATAAATCAATTCTGAATAAAGGATATGGACTGGGATGACTATATTCTGGCCCAAATTATTTTTAATTTTTAACTTTCTAAAAAAGTGTCAGGGAGCCACTAGAAGTGTTTTCTACCACTTCGTTTCGCACCATATCCTGGCCAACGTTTTACCCCGCTGTGGTCCTCCTCAGGGATCGGAAAAAGGGTGTGGGTGTCAATTTCGTTTTTAGTCACAGCTACACCCACAGCCACACACCCACATCCAGCCACACCCACACCACACCCACAGCCACAGCCACATCCACAGCCATACCCACAGCCACACCCACAGCCACACACCCACATCCAGCCACACCCACACCACACCTACACCCACAGCCACATCCACATCCACATCCACATCCACAGCCATACCCACAGCCATACCCACAGCCACAGCCACAGCCACAGCCACCGCCACAGCCACAGCCACAGCCGCAGCCACAGCCACAGCCGCAGCCACAGCCACATCCACAACACCCACACCCACACCCTATATGTTCAAAAATGACTCTTTTCGCTCAGATATTTCAATCAAGTTTGTTTTTCTCGATACATTCACAATCATGAAAAAAAGAGATACCAAAATGGAATCATTCGTATTTAACAAAGAACGACACATCGGACAGTTTTGGACTTGATTAGATAGTATTAATGATGTATTTGTCTTTCTCATTCTACTAGAGATATTTTTCCCTTTTCATGTTTTGATCACAACAATGTATGAAAAAAATAGTGTACCTTCTTTCCAAATCTGACAATCAACAATTCAATATCATAGGATGTGGGTGTGGGTGTGGGCGGATGTGAGGTGTAGATGTGGATGTAGCTGTGAGTGTGTGTGGCTATCGATGTGAGTGATCGCAAGGTTGATATCTTCACTTCACCCATACTCACATCCACCCACACCCTCTCATTGTTCTTCATTGATATTTGGATGTCAAAATTAAATGGATATATCTGAAAGCATAATCACTCCAATGAAATATTTAAGTTTTAAGCGTTAATTACCATTTTTTTCACCATTTTATCACTATTTAGTAATAAAATCTCACTGTAACTTTTTCCATTCGACATTTTCTTATTTGAAAAATTTTGGAGAGATCTATCGGTTGGTATACAATTCAGAATGGATCAGTAGCACTGGTGAAAATCCGTAGATGATGTCAAGTGTGACTCTCGATTTATGATATTTAATAGGAATCAAGTCTTGAGTGAAAAGAATCTCCAGTCTCAATCCCGTTCGTTCCTTGAGAAACCCTGGAAGAATCTGTCACGATCCTGGATTTCAAGAATCTTGTCAAGTTTTCGACAGGATTCTATCTCAAATCCTACTAATTTATATTTGGGTGGGTGTCGGTGTTGGTGTCGATAAAGTATTAACACCTGCACCCATACCCGCAACTACATTCATACTGCACCCTTTTTTTTTAAGGAAAACTAAAGTCAGATTCTGATTCTCTGCACTTTTTTCTACCGAATTGCACTGAAGAAAATGCGAGCTTAAACTTTTCGTAATTGAAAAAATTTTTTGTCTTCGTCAAGAGATGATTCCAATTTTACTTTGTTTTCGCTTCCAACAAGCTAATTCGAGACAGGAGTGACGTAGGCTACTCAAAATTTCAGAAGTGTAGGAAGACACCGAAAGCAGTATTGTGTAAAATTTTCAAGTCATGCAAAGCTTCCGAACAAGAGATATTCATGATTTAGTACCAATAATGCAATTGTACAAATGAAATACGATTCACTCATATATCTTGTTGAAATATAAAACTATCCTTGTACTTTTTTTTTACAAATGATGCATAAAAGCGAGGCGCTTTGTAAGGTACACGTAATTCAAACTTTGAGCAAAATTTTTTTAGCCTTAGCAAATGCTTCCTTCTGGTCGAACAATAAGAAACACTCGAAAGGTGTTGTTTTTCGAGAAAAAACACATGATTTTAAAAATATGCAAAATTTTCTACTTCTTTCTTTTTTTCGGCTTCTGAAAATACTTTTTTCAGATTCAGCATCAAAAACCGAGTATAGACAAGTTATTAAATCGACCATAGATCTGAAACTGTATTGATGGTGGCGCTTGGAGTCGTGTGGAGTGAGATGCTTATAGGTCGATTTTGTAAACGTATCTAGTTTTTGCATGTAAACGATGGAGCAAAATATTTTGTCTTATTCTATTTACCATACCATCCCGCACCATGCTACCGATCGTTTTTTTCTTTTCTTTCCTGTGTTGAGAAAAATCGTTTTTACTCGTACCATAGCTGTTGTAGGCGATATTCAACGATTTTTGAATTCAAATAAGACCTTTAGTCACAAACTGAATACAGATTCTGAATCAGCACAAAACATTGAGTCGAACGAAGTGTCTTTCAAATTAATTTGGCAACTTTCATTTTGTCTCATTTTTCAGATATCATGGTACGAATGAAATTGTTGTTGAAGTGTCAAAAAGTGAAAGTTGTGGAATTAACTTGAAAGACTCTTCACTCGACTCGATTTGTTGTGCTGATTCAGAATCTGTATTTAGTTTGTGACTAAGTCTTATTTGAATTAGAAAATCGTTGAATACCGCCTACAACAGCTATGGTACCAGTAAAAACGATTTTTCTCAACACAGGAAAGAAAAGGAAAAAACGATCGGTAGCATGGTGCGAGGTGGTATGGTAAATAGAATAAGACAAAATATTTTGCTCCATCGTTTACATACAAAAAGTAGATACGTTTACAAAATCGACCTATAAGCATCTCACTCCAAATGACTCCAAGCACCACCACCAATACAGTTTCAAGTCTAGAGTCGATTTAACAAATTGTCTATACTCAGTTTTTAATGCTGAAGCCGAAAAAAAGAAAGAAGTAGAAAATTTTGCATGTTTTTAAAAACATGTGTTTTTTTCTCGAAGAAGAACACCTTTCGAGTATTTCGTATTTTTCTACCGGAAGGAAGTGTTTGCTAAGGCTAAATAGATTTTCGTAATCAGCAGCTCTCGCTGTATCAAATAATGTAAAAAAGCGCCAAAAAGAAGAATTTTTACTCGAAATTCGCATTGTGGGTACCTTATATCATATCATAACTGACGAAGTAACAGGTAGAGAATAAATATTAATTATTCTTATCTTTTTTAAATATGACAAACAAGTATTCGTGGTCATATCTCTTCATTGGTTGTCTTGTCATTTCTACGTTTGCAGATAAAAGTAGAACATGCCATCATCGTTTATTGATCTTCGTTCAGATACAGTAACAAAACCAACAAATGAAATGCGTCAAGCAATGTTCGATGCCGAAGTTGGAGATGATGTTTATGGTGATGATTTAACTGTATTAAAATTACAAGAAATGGCAGCAAAATTATTAGGAAAAGAAGCGGCTTTATTTGTACCATCGGGAACAATGGGAAATCTTATTTGTGTTCTCAATCATTGTTCACAATTCGGTTCAGAAATGATATTAGGTGATGAATGTCATATACACATACACGAACAAGGTGGATGTGCAACACTTGCAAGAGTTCATTCGAGAACAGTTCCAACACAATCAGATGGAACACTTCTACTTAAAGATATTGAACAACGAATTCGAATAGAAAAAGATAATGATCATTTTCCTGTGACAAAACTCGTCTGTTTGGAAAATACACATAATCGAATGGGAGGAAAAGTCTTGACTGTTGAATATATAGAAAGTGTTGGAAAATTATGTCAACAATATGGATTAAAATTACATATGGATGGTGCGAGACTAATGAATGCAGCTGTTAAATTAGATGTTGAACCAGCTAAATTAGTTCAATCCTGCGATTCTATTTCATTTTGTTTATCAAAAGGTTTGGCAGCACCAGTTGGATCACTTATTGTTGGTACGCGTGAATTTATTCTACAATCAAAACGATTGAGAAAAGTATTAGGCGGAGGAATGAGACAAGCAGGTGTGTTAGCTGCGGCAGGTATTATTTCATTAACACAAATGCCAAAGTTATTAAAGCTAGATCATGAAAATGCAAAATTACTTGCTGAAGGATTATCAAAAATTGATGGATGTGAAATTAATCCTGAAAAAGATGTTCAAACAAATATGGTCTTTTTTCTATTAAATTCTGACAAACTTAGAATGGATGCACAAACATTTGCTAATATTTTAAAGAACGATCATGGAATATTAGTATCAGTACCAGGAAAGTTCAAATGTCGATTTGTTACATATTATATGATTACAAAAGACAATATTGAATATGTCGTAGAACAAGTTAGACATATTTTAGAAAATAATAAAAATATTATTTAAATAGTTTTCACTTTTTTTTTTTGTTCTACTATGATATAAAAAACAATAAGAATTATTAAAATATTGTATCTATCTCCTATTTTTAATTATGACAAATCAAAAGGTCATGATCAATAAAATTATATAGTTTTTGATTCATCAGATTATTGTGTAAAAACTACACCAAGCTGCCTTCAAAACATACCGATAGGTGATATGCTATGTAGCTGATCGTTTTCTAAAGTAGCGCATTCAGAACTTTGACAGAAATATAGATAAGAAATATAGAAGAACTTTTATCTATAGATCGACATAAAGAAAGAAAAAAAAGACTAAAGATATTCAACAATTTATTGCAATGGTGCATAAAATAATTGAGCAATTGATTCTTTACATAGATGCATTGTTCTGACAAGGCGTTCGAAGATAGTTTAATAAATACTTGACATATACATACAGTAGTGATATTCATATTGTATGAATGGCTCTTGCTCAACCGAACTTATCCCAACAGCTTCTACACCCGCTTCGATGAAATATTGGTATTAAGAACAAATATCGTTTTCCATCGTAACACATATAATCAGTTGCTAGACTTTTTTCATTGTGAAACTGATGAAACTCATTCCGTCTATATAAAAAATGTACATGAGTGAAAATAGAGCTTCAATGAGCATATCACAACTATGTAAATAGATGATCTGATTTAAGACATGTTGCATTGAATCAATAATTTTTGTCAAACAAACATCAGTTATCACGCAAGAATACGACAAGTGAACCAGAAAGCAAATAAATAATTATATATGTTATGACATTGACCAAAATCTGTTATAATATTGCTCATCATCATATAACAATAATTGATTACTTGATCGACATGTATGTTTTGTACAATAGAATGTTGATAATAATACGAACTGATTAAGACAATTATAAATGTACGTCATATTCGATCACTAGAGACATTTGACAGTAAATTCATCGCTATTGAATATTCTTCAGAGAATATGCAAATTTTTGTGGCATTGCTATTCTTTCTCATGATGTGTTCGCTCCTTTTGAAACAGAAAGAAAATATTCGGTACATTGAATACATTCTATTTATCATTAATTCGTTTCATGACATCTACTTTTATACTGAATATGTTATATGAGGTTTAAAGAAAACCAGCGATATTTACTATTAGAGTACCCTATTAAAATTTGATTTTCAGATGTTCGAATTGTACTTGAAAATTGATTCAAGTTAAAATACTGCATGAATATTTGAATACGTGTTAGACCATCATGGACCTTAGTGTTAACTATGTGATGACCTCAATATTAACACTAGAACATATTCATACATGAAGTTTTTCACTTATTAAATGATGTAATAAAGCATGTGACTGTTGGAAAAATAGTGACTATTATATAAACTAGTTATCCATAACAAGCAGGCATATTGTATTGATCTAGTTCGATTTGTGGATGTGGGGAAATACTAGATGAACACCCGTATTCACACCTTCCTTAAGAAAGTTTATTGCGAACAGCACTCGAAACTAAATTCAGAACAAACAATAATTGCCTATCGAGGCAATATGATATCGAAAGACGAACTTCAGATGCTTCGTTCTCCAACTACCGAAAAGAGACTTATTTGGTTCAATATATTCATGCCGACTAGTTTAGACAAACTGTTGCTAAAAATTTTTTATCTACGTAGCTCACATACCACAGATCGAATAGTTGTGCTGCAAGAAATACACATCAACAACAATACAGATATGTCATCTATGTTATTTGCCTGCATCATTGAATCCAATACAGCTGATGTTGAGAAATAAGTTCTCTTGCAAATTGGAAGTGTATTCGAGTTAGAATCTATTGAGGAAAATGTAAGACTAAAATTGCATATCATAATTATGCAAAATACTATTTCATTGACAATTTCTCATAAGAGAATAAAACATAATTTTCTAGAATAATAGTTTAATTTCTAATATTGATAAGCGTTATCTAATAATATTAATCATAAATAATAACATACGAAACAAGATGAAATTATGATAATTCATGAATTATTAAGAAAAAGAAAGAGATAGAATATTTTTTCATTTTTTTTGCTAGTCAATTTATTTTATTTTTTATCTATGATATTTTTAATGAAGTCAAAATGCAAGTGTCGCTTATACTTTTTTTTCCAAAAAAAAAAAGAATAATGGAATATTGACATAATATGAATAGAATATACTTTATGGTCTCTATCTAATAAATGAAATCATTCGTCGTAATGCTCGACTTTTATTCTTTTACAGAATGAGCATATTTGGAAAATGAAGTTGCATATGGTTAACTATGAAGATCGTATTAGAAGTGAATTACGAGTTTGGTTCGACGATAATATCGAACAAGAGACATCCCTAATAACATTATCAAGCTTTGTTTTCTGTCGAGGCGATTTTCAAAAATCGGAAAAGTATAAGTGAGTAAAGCTCTTCTTGCTTTCTATTAGTGTATTCTGCAATCATATTTCTAGTAAAATCTTGCTAAAGGAACTTCTACTCAATGATTTCGATCGTCCATAAATACACAACAAATTGGGATATACATATAAAAAAAAATGGGCAAATTTACTGGTGCATTTTATCATTTGAATAAATTAGTTGATTTATATTTAAAGCCGAACGCATCTATTCATATTAATAATTTTAATCGTAAGCTGGCTTGTGCTTACAATAATAAAGGTCTTGTCCATAAACAGCTTGACGAGTTCGATGATGCTCTGAAGTACATGAATAAAAGTCTTGATTTACGCCATGATGATGCAACTTTACCTGAAAAACAACGAAAACGTTTAGCAATCGAACATTCATACTGTCATGAAAATCTTGATCTTCTTTACAAAGACCAGTATAATTATCAGCTAGCTATATACCATTTACAAGAGACACTTGATATTCGAAAGAAAAATTTACCATCGAATCATCACATGGTTGCTCAAGTATACAATAACTTGAGCATTTTTTACAATCTTGTTGGTAATCTATTGAAATATTCACATCGAGGTACGATGTACAATACGTTGGGCGAAGCATACTACTCTTAAGGACAATATTCAATAGCGTTATTAAATTTTGAGAAAGCTCTCACTGTTGCTTTCAGCAATATGGGTTCAGTCATGAAAGCCCAAGAAAACTTTGATGAAGCTCTACAAACGTTTGTGCATGCACTTACAATTATTGAACTTATCATCCTTATGTAGCTCGTTGTGTGAACAAGATAGGCTTTGCTTATAGAGGCAAAGATGACCATACAACAGCTATCATTTATTTTCAACGAGCACTTGACTTTTGTCAATCGCATCTGACAGAGAATAATGAGCTAACGTCCATCAGCTATATCAGTCTAGCAACAGAACTCGCCGAAAATCAATTAGATTTAGCAATAGATTACTTTCAGAGAGTGATATAGATTTATGATCATATCGACTTACCATATCATCGAAACATTATTAGTTGTCACAGACATCTTGGCTATTTTTATCACTAAAGAAACGATCATCAGTCCGCATTAGCATACTATGAAAAAAGCTCTTCTTTCATAATAACATCCATCATGGATTCTCGCCTATGCAAGTGCTGCTCTCGAGTACTATCTGTTGGATTAATATGAACATACTTTATAACATGTCACTGAAGAATCCCTAGAAACGCTACGTATCTATAGTAAAATGAATGATTATCGAGAAAATATAATCCAAACCAATGTTCATCAAACAATAACACCTATACTAGATAGATTGGAGAGTTTACTGTGATAGTTGACTACAAAATGAACTAAGCAAATGAAAAAAACCATTGTCGTATTAAAATAAATGATGCATCAATGAATTTGAATTTATGAGGATAGAAAGTGGAAGATTTCGTCATATTGACACTTGAGTCGTATCTAAAAGAAACTTATTCAGATGAGTCTATGACAGTTGCTCGCTAGGACTGTTCTTCCCACTTGTACAGCTTCGATATAGATTACCTATATAAGCTGTGACTGTCAGAGTTTGGCTGTGAGTGTGGATCTTTTTCTTTAGTTACACTTATACTCCACCCAATTACAAAACATTCAAAAAACAAACTTTCAGTGGAATTCGAGTGGATCCTAAGTAGACAACAAGCGCTCTCATATACTTGGAGATAGTTTATCAGATCAACAATTAGTAATAACGAACGATTGATTTCAGTGGCCTATTGTTTTAATCTTCATCAAAGCATATGTAGAGAAGCATGATTTGATTTGACGTTGCGTGTGAATAATAGGGTGTGGGTGTGACTGTGGATAGAGTAAAGGAACATCCACACCCACTACTGCACTCTGACACCCACACCCTATAACAAAACTCAGTGCCCTACTATCACACGATTATTTTCTAAACAAGAAAAATCTCTAAATGCTGATGCAGTGAGAAAAGATATTATCTGACTGAATCTCTGTTAGAGATGTTAAAGATCTTTGGTATAATTCTGGTGATTTGTAGATGACATTAGTTGTCAATTTGTAAAAATGATTTATTATTATTATTAAACGTTCTAGTTTAATATGTGTGAAATTGTAAAAATATTCTTAGATTTTCGGTATTATTTTCTAAAATAAATAAAAACGGAATATATATTTTTTTTCTTATCCATTGGTTATAAGTGAATCATTGATGATTCTTGCTGTTTGTCTTTCGCTGAAATACATAATGACAGATCGTAAAATAAAAGTGAATAGAATTGTTTTTTTTTTTTTATTTAGGTAATACAAGAAGACGAAATGTTAGATGCAAATGATATTTTGTTTGAAGAAGATGGTATCGATACAGATCGTATTGTTGCGGATAAACTTCGCTTAGCAGATGAACTTTTATGTGTAATTTGTAAAAATCTTCTTTGGAAAGCAAGATCATGTGCTTCTTGTCAACAGTTATTTTGTAACAAATGTATTCAAACATGGCTTACCATCAATCCAACTTCATGTCCGTTTCGTTGTTCTCCTTATGAAGAAAAACGTGCTCCACCATCTATTTGTTCTCTTTTAAGTCGTTTGACCATTCGTTGTCGTAATAGTTCATTAGGTTGTAAAAACATCTTATCGTATGACTTATTAGAAAAACATGAAACTATCGATTGTCGATTTCGAACGAAACAATGTTCTATCTGTGGAAACTATATTCAAATAAATGAATTTGATCGACATCAAGAATCTTGTGAATCCACTACTCTTACATGTTACCTATGTAAATGTCTTGTAAATCGAGAATCATTGAAACAGCATGCAAAGAAATGTATTGTAGGAAGATTACATGTCTTGCTTGATCAAAAGGTATCATTATGGGATATCCGTAGACGTCCGCCTGCTGTTCGAGTAGAACAAGGAAATGTAAATATGTTCACTAGATTAAATAACCGAGTACGACGATTCGCACTTAATCAACGAAAAATTCGTCTTGACGGATTTAATGCGGCTAAACGAGTTCGTCACAAAAGTTATTGGATTCGAATTTGGACTATTTTTCGATTGATTCTATTGAATAAATCACGCGCTAGTCAAATCATCTTTTGTCTTCTCTGTTTTGCTATTGGGATTATTATACGATATTTCATTATTCTTTTTTCATTCCTACGCAATCAAATTGAAATATTTATGTATCGGACATTGATTTTTATGATTTTATTTGTTGGATTATTTAGTTTCGCTTTTACAATTCTACTTACATATGTCAATGATATATGGATAATTATGTTTATTTGCTTTGTTTTATTATTATTGGGTTCAATACATCAAGAACTACCAATAGATTACTTGCGAGTGGATCAAAGTCATTTAATGATGTTAGCAATAAATTTAATCTTTCTTTGTGTTCTTAAACTTTCTTTATTATTAATACGTTTTTATTTTTTATATATATCTATTTATATATCGACGAGTTGTTTAGCATTATCAACTATATTCTTAATATTTTATATTCGTCGTTTTAGTGATCATATAGAATGAATCTTTTTTATGATTTTCGCATTCATTTATTCAAGATATACTTCATTTTTTTTCTTTTTATCCATATGTAATTGACACGTGATTTTTAAGTAAAATAAATCGGAATTCATTGACAGGATTGAATCGTTTTTTATAGTGTCACAGTATCTCTATATTCAATAGTATTGTTTTATTTAAAAAAACGTTTGCAATTTAGTACAAGTAGTGTATAGTTAATTCATTTTGTTATCTATTCAAATAGTTAACATGAATCGGTAAAAACCCTAACCCTCAACGTCAAATTCAGTGCATTTTTGTATGAAACAACATATTTAATTTTCGTGCTTCTTTTTCAAATGATGACAAATCAACTGAACCTTCCAAAGATGTTGGTGTGGGGCAGGGGTGGCGGCACGTTTTAAAATTAGGTGAGGCTCATTTTAGGTTTATTTTTTATCTCAAAATAGGTTCTCATATAGGAGCACAAGGATGCTTAAGGCACCCTAACTGGCATACCGCTACAGACTGTTTGGTGCTGCTGTTGTCAGAAAAAGATCATCTATCTTGTTCTGTCTTCCACTAATAGTTTCAAAATCTTTGCTGAACGACAAAGACTTCAAACAACTACAAGTATAATTTATTTTTCATTAGAATATTAATCTAAAAAAAGCTTATCATTTTGCATTTGACTATGTTAAGTCATGATTGAGTAATAGAAGTTCGAAGTGTATTTTTCACTTGATCTAATACACCAAAGGTTGTTTGAGCCGTTGCCGTGACTATTGGTATAGTTAGGTAAAGTCGAATTGGTTTATCGAATTTCGGAACCGTTTGTTTGCCAATATCACACATGTGTAGTATTTAACAAGTAGTAGAAATTTTCGTGATCTGTTTTATTTCCATCTAATCTGCATTAATAATAGCATTAGAAAAATCTGAAGTCATAAGTGCTTCACCTTTCAATTTTTCGATATCAATATCACCATGAGAAAATTCTGAACTTATTTAAATTCGCAACATCTTCAGCAGACAGTGTATTAGTAGAAGGCTCTAAAACATTCATTCAGAAGTGTAATTCGAAGATTCATGTATCAATAGAAAAACAAACTTTTCAAGACTATTTACATTAAAATTTAATAGTCATAGGATTCCTAGCAGAAAGTTCTTGAGCAACAATCACTTCAATATTTGTTTTTATAATTTAAATAGTGAAATGGATTGTTTCTTTTCGTCGAAATGTAAAGATTAGATGAAAACATAAGTCACTTAAAAGAAAGTAGTGCATCAACAAGAAGGCGAACATCAAAAGCTATGAGTGGGTGTAGGTATGGGTGTGAGTAGGTATGGGTGTAGGTGTAGGTGTAGGGTGTGGGTGTGGGTGTGGGTTAGGTGAAAGAGAACACCCACACCCACACCCTCCGACACCCACACCCACACCCACCCACCCACACACCCACACCCACACCCCACACTCACACACGCCCACCCTCCGGAATCTATTCAACTTTTCGTATTTATCAAATAGTGTCCAGCTATACAAATGATATGGTCTTGTTGGCAGTTTTAGTTAGAATACTGAAAAATTTTCAATGAAACTTTAAAAATATGTTTTGAGAAAAATTATTGTTTCATTAGAAGATTGCATTCGAAATGATTAGCTTAAGAAAGTTTTTTTTTAAAGAAATTATCCAATGTCTATCTCGAAAATATTTTTGATGAGAACTGCAATGAGAAAATGTATGAATACTGTAATTTTCTCGAACACAGAAATTCAAACAATCATAACAGAAGCATTTATAATATTTATCAAAAAAAAAAGAAGTAAAATGAAAAAAATAATATGTTATTATTTAGTTTGTTTTCTTTATAGGATTAGATTAATCAGCCAATTTATCAGCAGAATTTCACTAGTTATCGTTTAATTGATCATAGTGACTTGAAGTTATTCTTATTGTTTTTTTCACTAGTAATTTCATGACATCACCGATCATCCTTTTAATTTCCTTCTCTAGTGTTCATGAGTTTTGTAAAATATATATTTGTTTCTTCCATGTCTTTTTCTGTCTTCGAACATACTGCCGTACTTGTAATCATTGGTATATGTCAAGATGCCATATTCATTTTTGTTATCATTTTTAAAGAAACCTTAAAACAAAGAGTCATACCAAAAGTATACCGAGGAAAATTTGGTCGAAGTCATCATTTGTAGAAGATTTTTTCTCGGATTTTAGCCGTTTTTCTGAATAACTAATTTAACATATCTTGCCTCAAATCTTTTACCAAAAATCACGATTACTACACTAGTAATACTATTAAGGATATGGATATTGCTATATCTTCACTTGACCCATAACCACCCTCAAACCCAAAACTACGACTACTCACATTACCTTATACTAAACAAGAGATAAAATTTCTTTTTATGATGCCTCTCGGAAAAATATTTGAACTCTTTCATGACATTGAAAGAATAATCTGATGAAATGTTTATCATCTAACAAAACTACTTAAGAAATAGGTTCACTTATTCAATTGACTGAGTCATGCTGCGGTAAAAAATTCCTCTTTGAAGCAACGAACATCGAGAAACATATTAGTAACATAGTATTTAGAGAGTTGATATTGAAAGAACGCTCAATACTATTGCTAATATCATGTTAGTTTTTTTTGTCTATTATTAAATAACATAATTTCACGTCGAGCATTTCAAAGACGCTTTCAGTAGCTATTCATGCGGGTGTGGATCTTCTTCTCTCAGGTACACCCATATCCACATTCTTACATGTCTTATTTGCGCTTCCAGTTGGATTATTTTCGTATTCATTGAAAAAATAGCGATAATCCAATATTTCATCACTGACCAAGTGTGTACATTTTTACAAATGAAAGTTTTCTAAGTGAAAAGTACCGAAAAAAAAGAAGCGTTCTTAAAAATATTTTTGACATAAAACATGGATAATTTGATCCTTTTCATCCACTGAGGGTGTGGGTGTGGGTATGGGTGAAAGTGGGAACGTAGATCTAGTATTCACCCACACCCGTACCCACACCCCACACCCATATTGTATTTCCTGGCTAAAATCTCTACCTTTGAGACATTTTGGAAGACAGGATGCTGAGCAAGGAGAACTCGTAGTTTGCTTAAACTGATTGAAGCATGAACAGGAACTTTCAATTCTTTCGCTAGTTCAAGCAAACCTTTTGTCTTTCCACAATGCTCGCCTGACGTAAAACGACATGAAATAGAGATAAGCTTACCTGCATCGTCAATGTATTCAATCAAGTCGACGGGACACTTCGTACCTATTCCTTTGCTAAATTCATTAATAGAATACTCACAAGCGGAATGGGTGCGAGCGTTGTCTACCACCACTTCAACTTGGTGATCTTTGAAATCTTCTTTGAAAGAAATAAGTTGAAATAAACGTTCGAACTGGTGGAGAATCGTTTCATTGTCGAAGTAGCCGTCGATACCTACGTTGATGCTAGCAGTAGCTGAATTTCCAAGATAGTTTAACGACCATCAGAACTAGAAAGTGAAGGAAATTGTTTGACGGCATTGTGATATTCAGCATCAGAAAGAGTGAAGAATGGCCCGCTGGGATATTGGACAAGGAAATCACTGATCATATGAGAACGACCACGACCTTTGGAGAAAAAAGGAGTGTGACCTTCCACTGTCCATCTCTTGGCTGACACTTCTCCGCTCTTAAAAGTAGACTCATCGTGAACTAAAAAAAAAGACAACTTTTTTAATTATTGAAGTAAAAATAAATTAAAATCTACTTACAGATGAGAATAGTGGGATTCTGTGAAGGAATTTGCCACACAGGCTGATCATCATCGCTTATTGTATAATAAGAATCTTTCCTTTAAAGAAAATAAGAGATAAATTCTTGTCGATAACTAACTACATCTTGCCTTTCATGGCCTTCAAAATAAGGCCGTTGTGTATTTGGTACAAACTTGGCACCCCAACGTCGAAGATCTAAACGACAGCTCTCAAAAGAGCGAACTAAAACATCACTGAGTTTCGGTGTTTGTGTTACTTCGTAGAATTTTGCATCGATGTAATTTGCCAAGTCGATAGCTGTAAAGTCGGCCGATTTACGTGAACAAGATTCGATGGCGAAAAGTTTAGCATCTATCTCAAGTTCTGGGAACATGTCATAGAATGATTCATGATGCTTACCTCCTCGACACTCCTCCTGGAACACTTCAATATCGCCTGACATAAAAATTTCTGCCCACTTATGAGCGGTTTGACATCTATAAGCACCGATATTCGTTAGAATATCATTGGTTTCACGCCAGGTGGAACCAACATATCAAAGAATTGTATAGATAAGAACGGACAACTTACGAGGTCCACATAGACTTTTACATATTTCAAACAAATCACCAATCGTAGCCAAATCTAATTTGTATGTAAAATTCTTCACAATGTTTTCATCGTCGCTCGTATCCTCTTCTTCATAATCTACTTCCATAGCATGTGACACTTCGTCTTCCGACAACGATTCTTGATATCGGCATATACATTCTCCTTCTTCCCTTCTTCCACTTTTCCATCGATTTTTGACTGCAGCAAGAGTTTGCAACTGTTTTTTTGATTTCCGTGGCATATTAAAATATTTCCAGTATCGTTGTACAACACTGTTCGACACCCAAAAATTACAGATGATTGTGCGTGAGACAGGCTCGTATAATGTAGATATACGTTTTCACAACAGACAAGAGAACACGCGATATGCGCCTAATGAGCTAAGTAATGCCAGTAGGTGATAGAACGCAAGTGATATGTACACTTTATTTTTTATTATCTCCCTATTTCTGGCTATATAACATCACTCATCTCATCACATGAGGCATTAACCTCTAGAAGTTTTATGTAAAGAATTTTTCTGGAGACTGATTCAACAAGATTCGATCGACAAATCTAAATATGTCTGTTGGATTCTACACTGATTTCCACCGATTTGTTAAAGTCAGAGCCGAAATTGAATGAAATTTGATCGAATAGGAAAAACACGATTTCCCGATCACCACTTGTCTTCAATAAAATGAACCTTTTCTCAGTAAGAAAAAGAAATTTTGCAAAACTCATGCGAACTTTTTTCACCTTCACTTGACGATTCCAATGATGTATGAAACTTGAAGAAATGTTTTGAAACAAAAGACTAGATAGGTTTGGAAGGAAAAGGTGGTTATTATATTGATTGATAGCCCAAGTCGATCTTATTGAGGATGATATAAATGACAAAATATTCTTAAATCTTCATAGTTCTACTCAGTTTTCGATGCTGAATCCGAATAAATTGGTTTCAAAAGTCTGCAATTACTTTAAATAATCGAAAACGTGAAATTTCTTTAAAAAACACTCGACAACCAGGATTTTGAGTATCTTCAGTATTTCAAAGGTTTCTCCGTCAAAACTAGATCAAAAAACATTTTAAAGGTAATACTCGTGATCAGCTCATCAAGCTCTATCGAATCATGTAAAAATATTAGGGGGTCAAAAATTTTGCTTGATTTTTGCCCTGGGCGCACCTTATAATTCTCAGATGTCCAGGTCATAAATCCCAAAAACTACAAAAGAGTCTTTTCTTTCAGAAGCTAGAAAATACATTGCTAGATGAATTAGACGCAAAATAATTCGTTGCAACTCTATTCAGCTCAGACAAATTCATCGAACAAAAGCAAAAGGAAAAAACAACGTAATTGAAAGAAATGCTTCTTTTTGACTTCTTGTTCGCTGCAACATACGATTCAATCGTCAGAATAAGGAACAATCTTCGATCACAACAATAAAGCGTAGAATTGAATTGAAAATGAATTGAATTTGCAGAAAAAATCTATCAAACAAAATAAACCAAAAATTGTAAAACTTAAAATTCAATTTTCTAATATAGAATAATACTAAAAAGATTCTCGCAATCTGATTTTTAACAATTGATTGTGCTCAGTTTGCATTAATGCATGTTTCAAAGTTTGAACTAAAAATAAGAAAAAGTGTAGACCAGAAAATGTTGTCAAATATTCTGTTTAGAGCTTAGCTTTATTTTAATTTCAGATGTGAAAATTCTGGCTTTTCCTATACCATATTAGCTGACATGTTTGTCTAGTAAAGAGTCCAAAACTGATAAAACTAATTTTTTCGTTTGTTCAATTTCTTTCCTAGACCTCAATATTTCAAACGCAATTCAATTTCAATACACTTCTATATTTTATTATTGACATAAACACCTAATTATTATTCCAAAGATTGAGTTGTGTGTTGCATTGAATAAGAAGTCAAAAAGGAAGCGCTTCTTTGGATTTAATTATTTTTTTCTTTTTGCTTTATACAAGAAATAAACAGAAGTCGAAATGACTGGCAACGAATTATCTGTGCAGTCTATTCCTAATTGATTTTCAAAGAATATCATCACAGTACGCTAACGTTCAAGCTCGTTTGACATCGTTAAGTTTAATCACAATGTTTGCCTTCAGAAATAAAATAGTTGCATATCTTAATTGAAAGAAAGTTTCATTGATTCTACCCTACTATTGAAAACTATTTGTGAATATCTATTCTAGATTTCTGTTTTAAATCGAAAAAAACATAGACTGGTTTGGCTCCTTACTATTTAAATATACTACCATATGATTTCAATTATCACCTACAGATCTCATACAGCAAATCACACAGGATTAAAAGACCAGTAATTTGAGATGATACGAGGCTGATGATTTTTCTTTGCGTGTTGCATACAAAAGTAGAAAAATCTGAGCATTGTCAATGAGATTTCAAGAATGGCGGGAGGGGGGAGGGGGAATGAGTAACATTTTCAATTAACTCTCGTTTGCGCGGTAATTTTATGCAAATGAAATTCATGACTTTGTATTAGATGTAAAAAAAGAAAAATATCTTAATTCAATTTTTTTTCATTAGAAAATTTATTCGATGAAAGCTGAGTGTCTCATATCTATATGCAAGAAGCCTTTGTATAACATACATCACCTCATCCTGAAGAAACCTACAACATGCATATTTATCTACTAATTCTCTTTCTCCTGTCTGCAATATATAATACGACGATACATCAGTGAAATGAAACACAAACGCTCATTTTGTGAAACACGATCTGAAAGGAGTGTTGAAGTGTATAGGGTAGAAATTTTGGACCCCCCCCCCCACAGACCGTGACAGAGAACATCCATACCCATCACAGACCGTGACAGAGAACCTCCGGACCCATCACAGACCGTGACAGAGAACCGTGGGTACCCATCACAGGCCGTGACAGAGAATCCGGGTATCCATCACAGACCGTGACAGAGAACCCTGGGTACCCATCACAGACCGTGACAGAGAACCATGGGTACCCATCACAGACCGTGAGAGAGAATCCGGGTACCCATCACAGACCGTGACAGAGAACCCTGGGTACCCATCACAGACCGTGGCAGAGAACCCTGGGTACCCATCACAGACCGTGGCAGAGAACCCTGGGTACCCATCACAGACCGTGACAGAGAACCCGAGTACCCATCACAGACCGTGACACAGAAATTGTAGTTATAAAGCATCAGATATACGGTCAGCTACAAATGTGTCGTAAGGAAATGCAACAAAAGGATTTCCATTTTATTAGTAATAGTAGGTCCATTGTGTTTCACATTTTTAATCCCGCAAGGGATTGCGCTAACAGCTTTTCTTATCGAATACAATCGCACACTACAATCAAGATCAGGTCGATAAACATAGTAAAACACAGGGTAATCATTCTTATCCAGTATTGTTAACTATACTTGCAGATCCACACATTATTCCGTGTTATCCTCCGCTATCGGTACCGCCTGTCGGTAAAGTTTCTCATCAAGTGCGTAATTCACCATTGCAATTTCTGTCTCTATTCTTACGCATCATTCAATCTAGTATCATCATTCATTGACAAAAGATATGCGATCTCGCTTTGTTATCCATGCGTCCACCCGATCACGAAAAAATAATATCCATCCGGCGAACAATCAGTCTGCCAATCCTCAAGACATTTTGTTCCCGGTTATATTCCTAAAATCTTCGATTATTCATATTTTCTCTTTGTGCAAATAGATGTCAACTATGTTAGCTGCGCGTTATCATCAAGGCAAATCCCAGATTGCTGTGATTGGAGGGGAGGAGGAAGGAAAGAAGAAATACATGAGAGATACCTCTCCCCAGAATAAATCTGCCACGCAAATTGTCAGTCAAAATTTTGGTAAATCAGTCAACAATCAAACACCTGCCGACAGTGCCACCAAAATTGATCAATATTCTCAGTCATCAATACAGGTGAAATAGTAAAATGAGGAGCATGCTCATTATTAGATTCTATGCGCCTAAATATTTATTATTG